ATTCCCAAAATTATCCAGTATGTTAATGTCTTGATCCAAAATAAAATAGTCAAAAGTGCGAAACCATTTACCTCTAATAATAATAATTTTGTACCAATTATAAAGATGTCAGAACATAGAATCTTATTGTAGCAAGGTCCCTAAGAGACTGGTGGAATGGAAAAGAAATCTCGTCTAAAAAAGGGAGACGCACCTTCATTAAAGGTATACTAGTCAACCAACTCATTTATTATAGGTTCCTTTTGACAATCTCAGTTAGTGTTGTTGAGAGATTGGAATCAATTCAATGTAAATTCCTTTGAGGTGATTATGAGGATAAGAAAAAGTACCACTTCCTAGTAGGGGATAAGATCAAAAGCCAGTGTCAGGATGGTTTAGGATTGAGGTCGTTTGTGGAGATGAACATGATTTTACCAGGTAAGTAGCTTTGGAGGTTCATAAAAGAGAACAACGGTCTATGGTGGAAAGTGACATAGGCAAAGTTTAGTACCATAGATGGTGGATGTTATTCTGGAGAATTGTCAATGCTACATGGGAAAGGATATGAAAAAAAATATGCATGGGTAGGGATAAATTTAAGGAATGCATCAGGTAGAAGTTAGACAAAAGGGAAAGAATTAGTTTCAAGATTTTCGGTATTGCACGATACAAGACATCTCGGTTCATGAGTCATTCAAAAACGTTAGGGGGAAATGGTATGTGGATGTGACAAGAAAACTCAATGGTTGGAAAATTAATGAGTATGAATCTCTACTAAGTACACTATCTTTTGTCTCAATGGACAAGAGTAATGACCAACCTGTCTGGACTCTCAATTCACAAGGACCTTCACGGTAGGTCTTGCATGGATCACAACATACGGGTTGTCATTACCCTTGTTGGCATATAAGTTAGCCAAATTTCTCAGTATGGACCATGACATCTGTATGTCTCAATAAGTATGGAATGAGTTTAAAAATACAAAAGATTGTTTTCAATGTTTTTTCCTACTTATGTACTACATGCACATGGGATATACATACCCAGACATATATATACAATTATACATATACATCAACAATATGCACTTGTAAATATAAACAATATTTATCGTACACAAATACAATCATAAAACATTGAAATTAAAAAGAAAATTTTCAACTAGCAAACAGATTAATTAATTTTCCGATTTATCTTCTTAAAAGAAGCCTCAAAGTCATACATCTAATTAATTTTAGATTCCGTCGAAATTAGCATTTCGTGTCTAACATGAGTTACATATTGTTACAAATAGATTTTGTTATAAAAAATTAACAGAGTCAAAGTTAACTGGAAAAACCTGGAAAACAAAATTCCTGATTCTTACTCTAAAAGTTGTTCTCTGAGTGGAACATAAAAAACTCATTTCATTAGCCAAGTCCAATCAAATTGAAAAGAACATGCAAGTGATTCAACTGCATGAATAAAGAAAATCTAGAAATGAAGCAAACATATAAAAGCAGCCATAAAACATATAGAAATAAACGTAAAAAATCATTATTAGTCATATTTTATAGAAATACCTATCATTTGCTAGATTCCAAGCTTCTTGTGTTAATTCTGGAGGCGTTTCAAGGGTTGCAAGGTAGTTCGATATGAACTTGTGAGGATGCTCTACGTGACAAACAAAACCCATCTCTTTCAGAATATGTCTTTCTGTCCGGCTTATCTCCATCTTCAAGTCTGAAAATTTCTTTAGAAAAAAATTATAGAAAAGAAATTAGGACATTGACTCATGACAATCTGAAAATAGAACATAACATGACTTCTTGAAAATTTTGTACAGCCTAAGCTAATCAATATAGAAGAAAATAACTTGTTTTTGTATAAGAAAGGAAAACAATTAAGTTACATGATGAAAAATTCGAAGCTTTGACACTAAAGGGATAAAAAGGAGCAACACTTAAGCTGACTCATCAAAAGAAGAGTTCGTGATGCAGAGTTTGTACTTGGCTGCATCCCTTTCGCGCAACACTCATATATGGTTTTTCATATAAAAAGAAATGAAAATATAATATCAATATCTAAGTTGATAAATTTCTAACCTTTGAATATAGATCCAAATGCTCTATGGATAAGTTCTCCCTTCTACACTCCATTCTATGGAAAACAATGATAACTTGTCTTGCTTTTCTAGGACTTTCTTCCAGCTTTGATGCAAGCCACACACAGCTAGCAGCAACCATCTACAAGAAATAAACCAACCATATGGAAATGGTAAATAATGAAAATTTTCAATGAAAACGTTAACATTATTTAATAGAGGGAAAAAAATGTTCATTGCTCAAGACAGTTTTTTAATATAAGGTCTTTTAGGAGCACCCACCAAGTCTTGAACTCTTATCTTCTTAGTAAACAGGAAATAACCACTGTACTTAAATATCAGTGGTTATAAGAGGGTATGCGGTTATGAGAGGATAAATAGGGCAAAGTTAGAGAAATAATGACCTTCACATCAAAACGAGCAAATGATTTCTTGCAATAGAAACGCTGAAATATAACCTGTCCAGTAGCCATTACAGCTTGCGGCCTGCAAATAACTAAAGCTAAGGAGAAGCAGCACATTGCATAACAAAAACCATATAGGACTGAATGTTACAGGTAAAGCAAACACTAAATAGGATACAGTCTGAGCAAAATGCCACTTTCTTGGATGAGATCACATCCATAGATTCTAAGAGTAGTTTCAGTAGCTTCGTCTATACCATCTTTACGAGATGGTGTGTTCATTAGCTGCTCATGTGTCAAGTAGAAATTATCGATTGCTGTGTATATCATTCTCTTGCTCCGCAAACCTCAACAAGATTTCTATCTGGGAAAACCAAATAAACAAATCAAATCCCAAATCCAACATTAATAAGTATTGCCCAGAATATACAAGAAAGGAGACACAAACATAAAATCAAGAACTTTCTCTGATAAAAAAATCAAGAACTTCCACTTTCCCAGTAACTGAACAAAACGCAATATTTTTAAGAGGCATAAACCAAATTCCATAAAAAGAAACCCTAAACTTTGCAAATCCAAATAAAGAAATTTCCAGGTAGAATCCACTTTCTGCTACTCCCGAGACACGATGTAATTAGACGATCAAATATGACTGTTAGCAAGAATATTCAACATAAATACAAGAGAAGGCAATAGTTAACAATAATCAATGAATCTGTAAGCCTACACCAGCAAACATAAAAAAAGGTAGCATCATCACTCGGAAATGACATGGAACCAACACCAAATGACATTATTAGTCAGACTCTCTTGGGCAAGGAGATGGCCTGATATCAGTTTACATAACAGGTTTAGTATTTGCACCTTGTTCGGATGTCTAACAAATAAACAAAATACCGAGCAAGTTGTAAATATTTTGGGCTGGTGTACACATCCTGATCACCATAAACCACAAATAAAAAATGCATGAGATGTGTCACACCCGTTACGTGGAAGTAAAACTCGGGAAAAAAATGAGATTTTGCAATAAATGCAAAAAGAAGTTGCTACTAATCCATTTGATGTGGGATTAGATACCCGAAATATGCATTGGTCTAAATAAGAGGAACCAAAGCATCCATCTAGTGGCATAGGCTTTTGAAATTATTCAAAAAGAACTTGCATAAAGTAAACCATCAAAACTAAAAATCAACTATGTAAATATAATAAATTCAATAACCAAATTAAAAGCCAAACCTAAAATGATATAAATTCAAAAAGATTTTTAAACAAAGTACATATAATCTACCAAATAAAACATGTTGAATATACTTTATTCTTTAAACCTAAAGTCTAGACCCACTAATCATGCACAATGAGCACAAAACAGCCTCATGCTTTTTGTTCCCATTATTTCTAAGAAAGCATGCATCACATCACCTTTTTCATTCCAAATGCATGCAGACAGCACCCCCCTCCCCCCCATCCCCACCCCCCCCCATAAGAATGTGAAACTAGGATAGTGAATGGATGGGGAAATGAAACAGCCCTAAATTCAGTTTGTTCACCTTCAGAACAGCATGCAACACGTTTATTTCCAACCTTAAATCCCACCAAACAGCCCCCAATATGTGAAGATTAAAACAAGGATTACAACAAGCACATAACAGTTTCTAGCTTTCTCATTTTAGACTCACTGAACAACAATAATAACTCGTATCATCATTAAATATCAAATTTGTTAAAAGGAAAAGGAGACATAACAACAGCAGATCCAAACAGCCCTTGACATTAAAAACAGTCCCTATCTTCCTCATTATTTCATATCCAAACCAGAAGTAACCCCACTGAACAGGTATGGCGCACGCATAAACATGTCGCATTCAACTTGGATATCCAAGTCAATGAATAGCCTGTAAAGTTAAATGGACAACCTTGCATTTTAAAGTCAACCCAGCTTTAAGATATTCTAAAAAATAAAGGTACAGTACATCTATAACTCCTAAAGAAAAGTACAACCACTATTAAATGCAAAATAACCTCAAAATAGATCCAGGAGTTAGGAATATCAAGACAATGACGTAGGGCATTTCTAAAGTCTTTGAGAGGATTTACAACCAGATCCAAAAAGGAAGGGAACATAAAAAAAAAAAACAAGCTTCACCATAGAACTGGTATCCCTAAAAAATAATTTAACAACAGATTTTGAGAAGACAAATTGAAGAATGATGAATTAAAACTTCCAACTAGGTTTGAGAGGCAAAACAACATATCTCTTTGATTTCAAGCAAGCAAAACTACATTAAACCCATTATAAATTTACTCATTAAAAATGGGGTGATAAAACGTAAACAAAGTCAGAGGAGATCAAAACAGTATTCAAAAGAAATCAGGGGCTCAAGCAAGCCATAACAGTTTTGAAGCCTTAAAACAGAACCTAGAGTATCAAAGGAAAACGAGAAAATATGCAAGAGGTCTTCGTTTCAACTCAAAGCAATCAAATAAACCAGCAAACCTTTCATTTATCTCATGAATATTTTCATCAGGTTATCAAACTAAAACTTCCTCTCTTATCCTATCACTCAGTAAAAGCATGCTTCAACTCATAAATTCAACCAAATTAAGTCACACTGTTCCATATACTCAACAAAAATTAAGCAATAACGAACTCGAACTCAAACAGTTCAATTCTGTAAAAGTCCATCATTCATTCTCAGTTTCCACGACAACACAATGTTTCCATAAAACATATTCAACTCCCTCTACACATCATACCTTCGTAGAACTCATTCCGTAGTATGACATTTCAATTGGTGCCACTTCTTCCTACATCGTACCTACTAAATCATGCTTTCACCAATCAAGATATTTCTGCTAAACGATTAAGAAAGCATGCATCAATCAAGTTTGAGTGTTTACAGAAATTTACGCTAGGGGTACGGATCGGAAATACCTTAAACTTTCACTGTTCGGTTACCCTCTCCACCTGCCTTGCTGCTCTGTTTCCTTCTCTTCTTCAACTCTTCTTTGGCCCAGAATGCCCAGCTTTCTTCTCCCTTTCCCTCTCAGCCTTTTCTTTCTTCTCAGAACATTCTCCTCTTGCTTTTTTCTCGTCACATGCCTCGAAAATCCCCTCCTCCTCCACCGATTCCCCTCTCTCTCTTCAGCGTTCCCCCCCTTTTCCTCTCCAGCTCTCGGACCCTTTTTCCCCTCAAGCTCGTCTTCGATTCCCCTCTGAATTTTCCCCGTCATAAATCGTGTAAACATGAAAACGGCGTCGTTTTCGAGTTTTGAATAACACGACGCCGTTTCATGCTCGGAGTGTTTTGAACAACAGCCCCTCCCCACTTTATAAATTAAATCTGGGCCGAGCTCTTCTCCTCCCTTCTATTCCCGTTTCTCTTGCTCTCTTTTCTTCATTTTCTTTTCCTTCTTTTAACTCCTTTTTTTTTTCTTTTTTCTTTTTTAATTCTTCTTTTATTTCTCTTCTTGTTATTTATTTTTCTTTTTCTTTTTTTTATCTTTTCATTTTCTTTTCCTTCTCTCTTTTTTCATTTTTCTTTTCCATTTTTTGTTCCTTTTTTGTTCTCTCTATTCCCTTCTTTCATTTCGTCTTTACTGAAGTAAATAAAAAATATAAAAAAATATTACCAATAATAACAACAACAATTATGACTTATTATATTGTTACAATCATTATTATAAACAATAATAATAATAATAACATTCATTAAACCGATTTAATTAGCAAGTCTATGAGACCAAAAGAATAAACGACTAATTTTATTTTTTTTATACCAAACTTTCTTGCTTAATGGAACAAAAACAAAGACTACAAATCAACAAATATTTTACCATCGAACAATTATCCAAGATTATAACTAAACATCATAAGTGAACAAACAAACTACGAAGAAAGTAATGTTACCTCAGGGTTCAAGTATATAGAGAGCAACATTATGAGATCCATGGCCCATAGTGTCCCTTGCGGAGCTTATTGTAATAAATTTTTTAAATAATATTGTATTATAATATTATTACTATTAGATATGTGTTATTATTATTAATATAATATGTAGCACCCGGAAAGGAGGAGAAAAGAAAAAAAAAAAAAAAAAAAAAAAAGAAAAGAAAGAAAGGGCGGCCACGTCAGCAGCCACGCCAGCAGGCCCGGTCAGCAGTCCCGGCCAACCAGGGCCTGCCACGTGGCAAGACCGCGTCACTCCAAAAGGAGCCACGTTGGCGATCCGCGTGGGTGCGATCCGACGACCCAGATCAATCACGCGATCGGACGGCCCAGATTCAATCGCACGGACGGCCCAGATTCAATCAAAAACGAACGGCCCAGATTAAAACAAGATGAACGGCTGTGATCAAAAGGCAAGGGGTTATAAATAGAACCTCCACACCAGACCACAAACCCTAGCCGCCAGCCGCTCGCCGGAGAAGACGAACCAGAGGCCGACCGCCGCCACCCGCCGCCACTCGCCGCCGCACCGGGGAAATTTCCGACCGCCGATCGAGGTAAATTTCATACCCCCGACTCGTTTTTCCCCACTGATTCCTCCTATGGCCAAATCGAAGCCGAAATCCCGGCCAAACGGCCGGAATACACGGCCGAAGCCCAGCGGCACCGCCGCGCCCCCTCTCGGTTTTTGCCTCCGACGAGGCCCTTCCCGGCCTCCGTTCGATGCAATTTTTATATCATCGTGATCACCATTCTTTTCTCTACAGGTTGACCGAAGCCAAATCACCAAAACACGAACCTCGCCGGAGAGCCGCTGCACCCGAGAGCGCCGCCGCCGGTAAGCTCCGTTTTTCTGTGATTTTTTGGCCCCCCGAGGGCCCTAAGGTTGTTTTCTGACAAGGACCAATGCGAGCGTGGCCGAATTCGGCCGAAAACGGCCGAAAACAGCCAACCCGAGGCGACTCGCCGCCGCCAGCGGCGGCGCCGTCGCCGGAGCACGGCGGAGCCGCCGTGCCGGAGTTGCGATTTGGGCCGAAGGAGGCCCTGGGCCTAATTTGGATTTTTTTTTGGAACACGTGCAGGTACTGTTAGTGTGTTTCAGTTTCCCAGGAAAAAAAATTCAGGGAAAATTAGGGACGGCCTGCAGGCGCACTGTGAATCGTATTCGGATCTCGAAAACAAGTAAGGACCCCTCACCCTATTTCCTATCACGGTATTAAAGTTCAAAATGATAAAACGGTATTTCTTGAATTAACGCATGTGTGAAATTGCTTAAGGTTGCTAATGAAGCCCGAGTCTAGTGTGATTAATGATTTACTGTTGTTTGGCATGTTTTACACTGTTTTACAGCTTTAAATGCATTATGGGGTTTGATGTGTTCATTTTATAATTTCGAATGCATATATTACTGTTTTATTAATTATGGGTTGAATGACTGAAGAACTGATACTGTATGTTGTCTGTTTGGCATGAACTACTGTTTGCTTGTTTGTATGTGAATTGATGATGCTTATTGAGGAAAAGGAAAATGAAAGATTGTGTAGACTGATAATTGTATGATGGGGTCAGCCTGACTAGATATCCTGGGAGATGGTGGACGGACCGGGTCCGTAGGGAACCCTACCGGGATTGTGGTCTCACATGCCGGACGGGGTATGGAGATCTTATGGTTTTGGCGCCCATACCGGACGGGGTATGGGGACGGCCCGTTTCACCCTCATACCGGACGGGGTATTGAGGTTTATGGTTTTGGCGCCCATACCGGACGGGGTATGGGGACGGCCCGTTTCACCCTCATACCGGACGGGTATTGAGGTTCATGGTTTTGGCGCCCATACCGGACGGGGTATGGGGACGGCCCTGGAAACTGATTATGAATGTTAAGGGTTAACGGGTAGCGAGACCCCTAGGGACCCCCATGGATACTAGTAGGCTGGTAAATGAGAAAAAGGATA